GATGAGTTTGTATATTTGGGCTGCGTATTTAGCAGGGATGGGAGATATGATAAGGATATAGAACGACGAGTGAATGCGGGAAATAGAGTAAATGGGGCCTTGCACTCTATTGTGAAGACTCAAAATGTGTCGAAAAAGGCACGTATGGCAATACACAATGCTGTGTTGGTCCCTATTTTAACGTATGGTAGTGAAAGTTGGGTGTGACAGAAGAAGCACGAGAGTAGAATAAATGCAGTAGGAATGCGGTCGTTAAGGAGTATGTTAGGGCTGAATCTGAATGACACTTACACTTACACTTACACTTATCTTCACGCACAATCCCTAACGGGGTAGCCAGAGAGAACAGATCGCCAAGTATCACGATCCTTACATACTTCTTTCGCTTCTTTCAGGTTCATTAACTTCTTCATACACACACGTCTAGGTATCCGAGTACTCTTGACCCTCCCCTCTTCGAGCAATTTGCTCACATGGTCTTCGAAAGTTAGTCTCGGTCTACCTCGACACCTTTTAATATTTACTTTCGCTCTATATATTTTCTTCACCATTCGGTCTTCACTCATTCGTTCAACGTGCCCAAACCATTGGAGTACGCCCCTATCAATTTTTGCGATAAGGTCATCTTTCAATCCTGCCATATTGCGAATCTCTTCGTTTCGCTTTCGGTCGGCTATGGTAACGCCACACATTTTACGAAGAGATCGCATCTCCACTGCATTCAACTTGCTTTTATGCTTTTTCTGGCATACCCAGGTTTCGCTGCCATATAACAAAGTCGGTACCAACACTGCGTTATGTATTGCAAGGCGTGCACTCTTCACCACGCCTTGCCTTTTTACTAATGCATTCAGGGCACCATTGACTTTGTTTCCGGCAGCGACACGCCTATCCACATCTAAATCACATCTTCCATCCCGGCTGAAAGCACTCCCCAAGTATACAATTTCATTTACCTGTTCTAGACATTCCTGATTTACCCATATTTCACATTTCGGTACTCTCTTCGTCCTTTTCAAATACCAGAACCTTAGTTTTATTAGCATTCAAACGGAGACCTTTAATTTCACATTCCTCTTTCATACACGTGACTAATGCCCGCAGTTCTGCTTCTGATGGTGCAATAAGCACTGCATCATCAGCATACAGCAGACAATTAACTTTTATGTCACCCAATTTCACACCCAAACAGCTATTTTTCAGCTTCTGTAAACAGCTGTCGAGATACAGTATGAACAGCCAGGAAGACATGACACAACCCTGTTTTACGCCCGCTTGGACGCTAAACATGGGTGACAGGTCATGCCCTACCCGCACACAGGCTTTACAGTCATAGTAAAGTGACTGCACAGCCCTTAACAATCGACCATCCACACCATATCCCGGCAACAGTTCCCACATTTTCTTCCTTATAACCTTATCAAATGCTTTCTCCAGATCCACAAAAGCACAGAAAATCCTCTGGTTAACACTCAGAAGCTTCTCCGTGATCATACGGAGAGAAAACATTTGATCCGTGCATCCTCTTCCAGGTCTAAATCCGCATTGTGCCTCCCATAAGAATCTTTCCGATTTCTCTTGCATCCTACGTGTCAAAACCTTCGAGTAAACTTTACTTGCTAAACTGGTCAAGCTGATCGCCCGATAGCAACCGCAGTCAAAATGTGAACCTTTACCTTTATATAAAGGCACAATGACCGCGGATCGCCAATCATCCGGGACATCTCCCGTCCGCCAGCACAAATTGCACAGCAGATGGAAGCTGTCCCAGACGCGAGGCCCACCGTACTTGACCATTTCAGCAGTAACTCTGTCTAGTCCCGCAGCCTTACCACATTTCAAACTTCGAATCGCACGTTCAATCTCTTTCATGCTGATGACCTCAGTGTCATCGAGGTCCGTTTCTGGCGTGCCAGTCACGGCGTCACCCCCGGATCCTTCACTAAGATCATGAAACGCATACGATCATCTCTATAAAATTCACTCCATCGCTGCATGACGTCCGATTTTTCTGAGAGGACGTCATTGGTTCTCGAAAGCACTTTGTTCATTCTTAAGGCTGTCGCACCACTCGCCTTCCAACCAACCTCTTTCCAGAAGAGTTTGGAGTTTTCCCTAAAGTTGTGCGACAACCTCTCGTCCGCTTCTATTCTACACCTTTCACGTACTTCCTCAATCAATGTTTTCGCATGAACTTTCTGCAGCTTATATCTTTCTTTCATCTTCTCTCTCATATGCTCATCGTTACTAGAGGCCAAGTAGTCTAACCATGCTTTTTTCTTCTTTTTTACAGCTTCTCTCACTTCGTCATTCCACCATGCATCTCTTCTTTTACTACTACCTCTTTTTGTCATACCACATACTTCTTCCGCTGCACTTACCATTCCATCCCTAAGGTTCTGCCATGTTCTCTCCACACATTCTTTCCTGCCATCGATGGTGTCAAGCTTTTCGGCTACCCTCGTGTGATATTTGTCCCTAGTATCCACTTCCTGAAGCTTCCAGCTTCGGATGCGACAGTGTAAGAAATCTGAATGACAGGGTAAGAAATTGTGTAATAAGAGATGAGTGTGGTTTGCAAGATGATGGATTTCATTCAGGATTAAGAAAGGAATGCTTCGGTGGTTTGGTCATGTGGAAAGAATGAATGAGGAAAGAGTGACAAAGAAAATTTATGGTGCAGAAGTGAATGGCAGAGTCGGAAAGGGACGTCCTAGGCGAAAATTTATCGACCAAATTGGCGATTTATTGAAAACGGGCCAAATTAGGATTACCCTTAACCGACGAGCATGTATGCGTAGGTGTATGGATGTGAAGGAGGCAAGAGAGGTGTGTCAGGATCGTGCCAAATGGAAGTCTGTAGTCTCTGCCTACCCCTCTGGGTGACAGGCGTTAGTGTTTATGTTATATGTTATATGTTAAAAACTTTACTGACACTCTTAGCCAAGCTTCCATAATAATAATCGTTACCTAGGAAACATACGAAGGAATAAAAGTTTTATTCATTGATTTAATGGTTGATTTTTACATTCTAAAACAAACAAAGCTTATGATTTTAATACTACAATATATTATTGCGTGATATTTTCAAGGGCCTACACCGCTACATATAATTATTTTACGTATAATATCATAAGCGTTGATACACATATATAGGCACATATATATTAAACCACATTTTACTTTATCTTTTAATGTTGTTATTTTCAAATAACCTGATTTAATTTTTAATGTAAAGTGTTATATATTTTGGAAAGGAAAGAGAAAAGGGGGAAGAGAAATTAATAAAAAAAGCAAAATTAAACACGGAGAAATTTAAATCAACAAATTTACCTTTATCTCTTATTCAGATACGAATTACATATGTCTCGATTGAAAGCTTAATAGATCTAAATCTTGTTCGAAAGTAATAAGATTTATAATTAATATAATCCTTCTTCTGCCTATGATTCAGTTCATGTTGTTAACTAATTCATCAGTATATAGTAAAATTCACGATTTTTCTTTAAACCATGCGTTTTTATATTATAAAATTTATCATCATCATTATATTCCTTCACAAGTCCTCTAATGAACATAGGCCTCCCCAAAGAAGTACCATAAAGAATGGTACTGAACCACCTGCATCCATTCGATTTCTGCTTGTCTTACCAGGTCATCGCTTCATCTAGTGGGAAGACGCCCTACATTTTGTCTACCGATACGAGGTTAGCAATTGAGAACGTTTTATTTACCATAAGTTGTCGATACTACGAGCCATATAACCGGCCTACTGCCACCTACGTTTTCTTATCCACTGGACTATGTCCGTTACTCTGGTTCTACTGCGAATATCTTAATTTTTAAGTCTTGCATGCAGATATACCCCGAGCATACTCCCCTCCACATCTCGCTGAGCGACATTGAGCTTCTTCATACGGCCAGCAGTGAAGGTCCACGTTACAGATTCATGAGTTATCATTGTCAACACGTACTAGTTGTACAATCTTGTTTTGAAGTTTTGAGGTATTCCTCACGAAAAGATGTGTTAAAATCTTCCGAACGCTATCCGCCCGAGTCCAATCCGTTGATTTACCTAGTCTGTCGATTTCCGAAGTAGTGCCACTATGGTGAATGAAATTAAAGAACTTCTGATGGACTTCAAGTACTGGTTTTTCATAATGATTTCTTATATTTACGCGAACACTACACATTGATAGACCACAAATCCCCGCGAAAGAATAATTAAAAAAGCTGAAGGTACTCCGGGTTTAACAGTGACATCGGGACGTCAGTCATCTCAGTCCCTCCGTGACCGTGGGTGCTAAAAAGCACCCAAAACGTCAATAACTAATAATAATATAGTTAAACGGGACAAAATCCGTAAAAGAAGTTTTAATCAATACTGGTTTTTCACTCACTTTCAGAAGCTCCGCTGTAATTCTATCTTCATCCTAGGCTTTGTCACTTTTAAGGTGCTGAAGAGCCGTTCTTATCTCGCTTAGACTGTCGTCTGGGATATCACCGGAATAGAGTCGGATAGGACTTGCTCTTGGATTGTTACTCATACTTGCGTTTGGCTCCAACCATGACGTGTAAAGTTGAACGTAAAACCTCTTTTTTGCATCGGTTCTTGCAGAACTACGACTGCACTTACACGAGCTTATCAATCATATTATATGATTAAACTAAGTTAATGGTTAAAATTTGTATTTAAATTTGTTTGAAATTGTAGAAAAAATTTAAACAGTTAAATTAACTATAAACATTGATTTCGAGGAATCACCCAACTACTATACTCGTAATTACTATAATTTCAGATATTAGTCACGTGAAGTGGTTAAAAATAATACGTCTGCAACTGAATAATTATTGTAGTCGTACAACTTCACATTTTAAAAATAAAAATATTGCATTTTATTTGCTTACGAACCATACAACGTGTACTACGTCTTTGTTGATTTATTGCCTCAGCCTAATACTGATTGAGATAGTAAGATAAGATATTATATAATTTAATTATGTTTTCACTAAAAGTTTTGATCTTATTAAGTCTCATCATACATTTGTGTAAAAATCAAGAATTATTACTTGAAGACAATAATAAAGAATTATCATCGTGTGTTCGAAGTATCACTAAACATTGGTTCCACAATGGATCAGAAGTTACAATCGTCGATATTGATTCCTTTGACAATGAAATAATTAAAGCAATTCATTCAATGAAATATGTGTCTATCATATCACGGACAACAAACAAGAAAGTAATTTACAATAATAAAGGCTACTTATTAACAGTAAAAAATTTAAGAGTCTTCAAAGATAAATTTAACTTCCTATCAATGGAGGAGGGTTGGAAACCCGATGTCTATTTTCTGATTATTTTCAAAGAATTAGAATTAGCAGAAATTAATGATGTATTTGAAATTCTTTTGCATTACCATGTTTTTAAAGTGTTGGTAATAAATGCAGCAAGTAATTTGAATGTCTACACGTATAATCCATTCGATAACTATGGTTGTGGAATGGTTCACACTAGTTTTATATCATACGGGAAATGTCTTTATGCAAACATAACAAAATCATTTTTTTACAAACCTTTAACAGGACTTAGAAAGTGCACATTTAAAGTAGCTTTTTGTGATTCGCCCCCATTCGTTATTATGCCTAATAATGATCACAGTAAAGAGAAACTTATTGGATTAGAACAATACGTTTTACAAACTTTAAGTGAATTGGAACAATTCAACGTTACCTATACCCACCAATATAATCCTGAAGAAGGTTCTATTGTAGGAGATGATATGATAGCTTCTGGTCCTATGAAATCCATTCAGAAAGGTGATGCTCATATAATTATAGGAGGATTGATTTTGAAGCCTAAAAGAATAGAAGCTTTTAGCTTCTTATATGGACACCATACTGACTACGACGGACTCATAATCTTAGTAAAGAAAGCAGGATTAGTATCGAATTTGAAAAATACTTATATAGAGTTTGAAGCAGTGGTTTGGATATTATTAATCGTAGCGTTCATAATATTTTTTGTGGTATTTGTTGTAATATATCACACAAAAGATAAATTTGGAACAATTTTAGTTATGTGGGACATTCTTTTACAACACGGTGCTACTTTAGGAAATAAGCTTAAATATAGGTATTTCATGTTTATTTGGATTGTTTTTGCTTATTTGATTAACTTGCATTACCAATCAAATCTGTCGAGTCTTGCAACACAACCTATCTACGAATATCAAATTTCTAACGAGAACGATTTGGCTATCTATGATATAAAACCTTGTATAAGCTCTCTTGTAAACAAGCATTTTAAAAACACATCTGGACATGAGTTAGAAGTTGGAAACCGTGAAGAATGTGGAACTATGTTACAGAGCATTACAACAGTCAGCCAAGCCCATGACAAGTATACTATAATTTATTATCCTTTTTATAATCAATATAGGCTAAACTTCATTGACGAATATGGAAATCCTACACTTTATGTGTTTAAAGAATCAATTAGCCAGATTATATCTACCATATACTTTTACAAGGGATTCCCTATGCTTAGACAATTACAATTGCAACTTTTTCATATTATGGAGAGTGGTTTATTTGATAAGCATTTGAGAGATTTGTCAAACGAAGATGCCAAAAAACACAATTTTCCTGAAACACACTTTCGGGCTCTCCTTATTATTCCTTGGTATTTTCTTGCTTTTGGTGTTAGTCTGGCAACTGGATGTTTTGCAACAGAAATAATAATATATTTTATTAGAGAAAAGATCAGAAAAAAGTTTTCACTTTCGTAAATGAATTGTTTAACATTTGAACAGCTACAGTGTTATAAGGATTTAAAAAAGAATTTTACTTTTACGTGGAAATACAAATAGAGGGCAGAAAATAATTCTGAGTTATTGTTTGACTTCTTTTAAAAACTAAAGATAAGACTTGTAATAAAAATACATAATTTTTTCAGTACGTTGTTATATTATATGGCTGTTTTTTATTATTATTTTTTGATTTCAGGATAAAGATAAACCGGGAGTTTAAAATTGTTTGTAACAAATTGTGAACTTCATACTCGTAAACAATGAAATTATTCATAAATTTTTTTTATTTACCTGTAAATAAAAGCCAACTATGATTTTAAGTATTTCGTAATTAATTATTTAAACAACTTATATATTAAGAACCAATTAAAAAATCTGAAAATTGTTTTTGCAAAAATCGTCACTTTCCATGGCAAAAAAAGGCATTTTTTTAATATTAAATTTTTCATTTGGCATTTCTTTACACACAATTATTTAACAAATGACGTAAAAAATTCCTGTGTTAATAATATCATTAATAAACATATTAATAATAATCATTAATAAAGATGTATTAGAATAAGTTTGTCATAATGGAAGTATATGAGCTTCGATACGGACATCTCTCAGTTTTATTGTGGTTTTTAAAAAACCTCCACCGCTACCGATAACTTGACTGGCGCAGCCGGTAGGATCATCATTTGCTAGCGCCATCCGCGAATAAATTCGTGTATCGTTTTCCGCGTACGTTCAAAGAGGGGATCCTGCGAACCGAAATAAATTTGTTAAGTGGAGAGCAGCTGAAGATGACGAAGGCCGGCTGGTGAGTAAAATTTTTACCTCCCTTTCCTTGCTATATTATATAGGTTTGGTTTTTTTTTTAATGAGACCTCTTGTGATATAATGTTATCTGGTTTAACATCAAAATTTGTGAAACTTATATTTAGGAATACTTAAACCTAATAACAAGCAGCATAACGAAATAATAGGAATTATGCGATAAGTAATCGCGTTCATGCAATAACGGTGCCATTGGAGCTTGCCCTTTAGGAACAAAGCAATTATAACCATTACAAATTATAATTTTAGTGTATCATTGTTCATAAAATTTTATTGAGGACTTACTTAATTGATATTGTGTTTTTTACTTAATAATTACTTTACATTATATTGATTGTATTTTTTTATTGTGACTTTTAATTCTTGTGCTAATTTTATTACCTTTTCTATAATACTTTGTCACATTACAACTATGTGTCACTGAAGCGGAAAAATACTGTAGCCTGTAACACAGTTTTCAACTAACACGGGCTACAGAGCTTCAATATGATTTGTTTGTATAAGTTATGTGAGAAACAATACATATTATTATTATTATACACATTGGTGAAATACGAACAAATGTGCACAGACGCAACTACTGATATGACTTATTCAGTAATGGCTTATACCACACCATACATAATACAACCGGCCTTACTCCTTTCGAAATTATTTTCACTCGTACCGATACTAATTCAAATTTCGCCACAAATTTCGAGAAATGTTACACCCAAAAATTGTTAAAAGATCATGCTAAACGTACTAGATATCTATGTTATATTTACATATCTGATAAAATGTTACAGAAAAAGGAAAAGGTAAAGGAACAAAAGGGCGGTGAAATAGATAGAAATTTTAGAATAGGAGATATTATATACGCCAAGGAATCTAACACTAGAAGAAGTAAAGACAAACCGAGATATAGGAAAGCTGTCGCTAGTGGTGATATAGAAAGAAATATAGTCCCTGTTAGGATTGGTAATAGAAGTACTACAGTGCTAATTAAAAACATTAAACGTCCTCCACAGGTGGTGTATAATAATTTTGACGATGATTCAGAAAGGATGGGCCCTTCAAATTTGAAAACTTAAAAAGAACCAAGGAATCCTGCCCGTCAAACTAGGTCGTACCTCCCTGCAGATAGATAATTGGCTTATTATTAAAACACTAAACTGAGATGGTACAGTTATTGATTTAAATTTTAGTGCATTAAAATATGACGAATTTATTGCATTGATAGATATAAATAAACTATATATTCACGAATTTTTAGGTATTCGAACACAAGTAGAGTATTTAAGATGCAACCATTGAAACATTTTGTCAATTTGTGCCATCTAATAGATTTAAAAGTGGCATTATTAACCCATTTGGGTCCATGATAAAAATAATAACTGTAAATTTGGATCATGATGGTGCTATCCTATAAAACTCATTGATTTCTAAATTAAACGATATTCAGATAGTGACGGATAGGAAAATTACATTGGTCTCTAAAGGTCTCTTGGATAGTTTCATCAACAGTAGAGAAACCTTACTTTTATAACTTTTTTAAGCCAGCACTTAGCTACAATCCCACCTTAAGGTAAGTGGTGATGTAGCTTAAGATGGTAAAGCACACACACTGACTTCACAAAAACCTATTCACTCTTGCCTTGAAGACACTGTAATCGGATGGAAATACAGATGCTGGCAACTTATTCCACTCATTTGCTGTACGCATGAAAAATGACGTAGCAAACCGTTTGGTTCGAATGCGTGGTAAGTCAACAACGAAATTGTGGAGATTGGCCGAACGTCTGGTTGTCCGATGGTGGAAGGGAGAGGGAGGAATTAAATTATGCAATTCCTGCGCACACTCTCCGAAATGCATCCTGTAGAAGACCGAAAGGCTGGCTACTTTGCGCCGGTGTTGGACGCTGGTAAGATTGGTTTCAACCAAATTCGGGCCACCAATAAGCCTCTTAGCACGCCTTTCCATTGAGTCCAAGGCCGCTAGGTGCCATTTTGCAGCACCAGCCCATACATGGCAGCAATACTCAGTGCACGACCGGACTTGCGCTTTATATAAATTAGTAAGCATCTGTCCCGGCGTGAAGTATCGCCGCACCTTTGGCAAGGACTTCTAGCCTCCTTGCAGCCGCTTTGGCCTTGGACTCATTAACCGTCCAAAGTTCAGATTTGAGGATATCACAGCCCCTAGTATCCCAACTGGAGGCAATCGGTGTATTCCAGTTGTAACGCTTCCCCCCTCTCATAATAATAAATATATAAAATACTAAATGTATTATATTCCCCTTTATATTAAAAATTATATATATGTGACCAGGATTAATAAATTATGTTTAGATCTTTCTAAATGATCTTTCTAAAGGTTTAATAATAGGCCGTTTGTAATATTTTGGAGTGATCGTCTTAATTAGGACCCTTATTTACGTTGTGTTTGTTCAGTAACTTAGTTCTTTTAGGTGTCCTTTGGAAGAATGAATATTCACTAGAGCAATTGAAAGCTGTTGGTAGTGCCTTATAAGCTAAGTGAACCCCGTTCACGAAGACAGGGCTCGAGAAAGGTTAAGAACGTAAAACGTCTTTATTCCACTTGTATCAGGTTGACATTATTAATTTATTATTATTTATCCCTTCCCGCTTGGAAAAGGCTCACAATATATTTATACAAAAATACCCGATACAAGGGCTTCGCTCTCCTACATTTATTTAAAAAAAATGTAGGGGAGGTACACGGCCCCACACACGCCGTGCACGGTGAGCGCCAACCATTTTGATGCACTCCCCCCGAAGGGAACGCTAATTCGGGAACTGGACCGTAGTCCACAGCAAAATAACTGGCGAACCAGTAAAAGAGGCTTGGCCCCTTCGTTAGTGCGTAAGCACAAACACCGACCGAAGTCGCGCATGTCAATGCGTGTAAACGCCATACAGAATACGAACGAATCCAGCCACAGTGAATGTACGTCACACGGTTTAGGCAAATAGGCACACTGGCCGTAAACCCTCCGTGAGCGCCATCACCTGCCAGACCGCCGCTCCTGCAGACGTGATGTAAGTGTATGGCATCACCACCAATTGCATGATCAGCACGGCTACTAGCCGCAGAGCGTGTCATGAGTCTACCGCTCACCTCAAGGGAATGGGGTCCCACGTTGTGCGGCTTTCGGCCGCAGCCTTGAGAGTCTCCTCAGATCCTCGCGCCAGCTACCACCCGCATGAGGTCGACACATATGCTCCACCAACCAATACAACGGCAGATATAGCCAGAAGGCAGTTATAAGTTAAGAGTAATAATTCGCCATCAGAAATGGTTTGTGTCACTGACGTTGAGTAAATGCATTTTCGATCATGTTTGTCTCACCCACCGACAAGTTGCCTTCAATCATTCAAAGGTGGGAAAGTTACAGAGATATAATATTATGTTGTTATATAAAACATCGTGGAGGGCAGACAGTCTGCAGCCCCGCAATGAAGGGACCCGACTTGGGCAAAGCTACTTAGGTGTGAGTCAAACAAAGACGCAGAGAGCTCCATTGAGAAGAACGTCCCATCAAACAACCATCGCAGAGACGCAATGCTGCAGAACGCAACAAGCATCAATACGACTATCGTCGGGCTTACACCATCCCAAGGTCCCCCATACATCCCAGCAGACATCACCACCCGCATACCTCCATCGACCAGAACCACAAGAGAGCGTCGAATCAGGCGCAGCACACCCGCAGATCCATCACAAGACGCAATACCGCAAGTAGCAGTAAGCATCAATGCAACTATCATACGGATGGCGCCCCCTCACAACACACCCACATGATCCCTATCAACTTTGGTAACAAAGTTGGCATTGTTGTTATATAAAAAATATCACCAACGTATCATAGTAGCACGCTACTAAGACGCCAATGAACAAAACTCCACGTATCATAGCGTTAATGCACTAAGACATGAAGTTGAGTATGCCTGCTACACTTAAAAGTGCTACCAAACACACTCATCATCCCAATCCGAAAGATAGACGACACATCGCTATGCGCAACGACGTCGCCCACAAACGGTATGGGTGTGCGATGTCCACGGGAAAGCCGTATTGCTACAACAAACCCGCTTATCACCGGCACTAAGATGTTAATTGTATACCTCCATCGACCAGAACCACAAGAATGCGTCGAATCAGGCGCAGCACACCCGCAGATCCATCACAAGACGCAATACCGCAAGTAGCAGTAAGCATCAATGCAACTATCATACGGGTGGCGCCCTCTCACAACACAACCACATGACTCCTATCGATTTTGGCAACAAAGTTTTATTGTTGTTATATAAAAAATATCACCAACGTATCATAGTAGCACGCTACTAAGACGCCAATGAACAAAACTCCACGTATCATAGCGTTAATGCACTAAGACATGAAGTTGAGTATGCCTGCTAC